TACAACCCATGTTTCAGTAGACACCTAGAGCGTTTAAACTTGGTAGGAGTACAGGGGGCGGTACGGGGACACTGATGGCAGATGGTGGAAGGAGTGACTGAAGTGATCTACGCGTGGTATTGGGGAGAAGGGAGACAAGAGAACTTTTGTGAAGTGAGCGCAATACTTACTTATACGAATCGTCTTTACTCATGTGAGCACCAGCAAGAAACCATTTGCCATTTGCGATTGCCATCGACGGTAGACTTAGAATTTGAGGAACATGGCGATTTGTGGAGTTTCAGCTGCTTCCCCAGCTGTTCCACGTGATCGACGAGCACATTCCCCATCTCGCAGCAGGCGTACGCTTGAATCGTGAAGATCCTACGGGAGCCCACTCGACTCGACTGTTCTTCTTGTCCATCTGTTATCACCTCTTCTCATTATATGATCGGCCCAACGAAATTTTGCGTTCCTAATGTATTCCACCGGATCGCGGGACATTTTGCGCATGTCAGGCTGCGGAGTCCGTCTCGTATTGAATGAACCGGTTGGACCTTAAAAGACATCGCTTGGGCATTCTCTGACTTGTGCTCAAAGTCCTTGAGGTTGACGCACTGGTCACCCAAGTCTCTGACCCGTAACAGAGCGCAGGAAGAACTGTGGAATCGGACAGATAGCGCGAAGTTCCGGGTCAGCCAGATGGTTGGCGACCTCTTTCAGAGGCCCGGAGGCTGCCCACACTGCTTCCTACCGTCTCACCAGCTCTTCCCTCATGCCGCTGTTCATGTTCATGAAACGCCCGAGATAAACGTAAGTCGAGGTCCCCTTTTTAAGGTGTACCATCAATCTTAATTTGACCTCCGTCAGCCCAAGCATTGTTCAAGGGCTGTGTTTGTGTTTGGTTGATCTGCAGCCCTACCTTCTTCCCTGCTTTATTAAGCTCAGCAAGCATAGTCGCAGCTTCCGCAATGCTTCTTGAAAAAAGAACGATGTTGTCCGCAAAGTGGAGATTTGAGAGGAACAGTCCATCCGTACGAATGCCCTTTTCGTCCCAGAATAGCGACTTCATAACCCACTGCAGCGCGGCTGTGAACAGCTTCGGCGAGTAGTGTCGCCTTGTCTCACACCCTTCCCCCTTCCCTATGGGAATGGGGAGAGTTCGTTGGGAGAGCTTCACAGTCACGCTACAGCGACTACTGCAGTCAGCTAGTGCTCCTGTGTAAGGAGGTCCACTCCTCAATCGACCAGTGCTGTCAAGACCGCATTCGTTTCAACGCTGTCAAAAGCTTTTTCATAGTCATAAACTCAAGGACAAGAGGCATTCGTAATTATCGGCACACTTCGATCACCATTGCGGGCTTGGACGTGGTCCAAGCAGCTGAATCCCTTTAGAAATCCGACCTGTATACAGGTTGAGCTTCATCTAACGTTTGCGATATGCGGGTCAGAATGATCTTCGTGAACAGCTTGTAAAATACACTTCACAAGCTTATTGGGCGGTAGTTGCGAAGATCGTCCCGGTCTCCCTTCTTTTGAAGACTGACCACGACTGACCACCCGCGAGGATCCCCGGTTGAGGATCCTCTCCTTTTGGAGGTAAGATGTCATGTGTGTTGCGAGAAAGTCATGAATTTCGTAGCCACCTGCATGGACTAGGTCGGCTGAGATCTTGTCGAGGTCTGGAGTTGCGCCCCTTATCATGCTCGCAGTGGCAACTTTCACCTCTAAAGGAATCATCCGAGGTGCTTTTGTAAACTAAACCGTATAAGCTTGATAAATAGGTTTCCGTGGTTCGGTTAATCGCCACGCGTTGAGATAGCGTGAAATAGCAATCAGAAAGCTTTCTTGCTGAACTAAAGTATTACACAAATGAACGATCACAAGGGGGCTCTACTGAGGTTTAAAATGAAAACTCAGAAATTCTATATACCCTAACAGGGATTTCAATTCACCTTGAACCCCAAGGAATCTTAGAGCGAATCGCCAAAACGTTCGCTAAGAAACAAGATCGTAAGAGATGAGTGTGCGAGACTGAAGAAAGAAGATAAAGTAGCCGCTGCGTTACAGGCGATGTATTTGAAGCTCGCATATGTTGCCACATACCATCGCCGTTGAGAATTTCTGATTTTTCTCCCAGATAAGTTCGCAAGCTCGCTCATGCTATGGAAGAGAGGAAGAATTTCTTGTTCAGCACGCACTCGTATAACGTCCTCCATCTCAAAGCTCAATGTTGTGAATGTTTCGTCCTCCTCCTTTGAACACGAAAATGGTATACTCTGGTCCTGAAGATCCCGATGGCATTTCCTCAGACTAGTTCTGTTCAAGGCTACCTGAAGTAGTCCTGTGCTTGTATAGCTGAAGGTCTCGTCGCGCTGCCTTTATGCAGTTGATATTTGCTTGCAGCCTTTCAAGATGTGTGGTGTTCTGGTCAAGTCTTAAGTTTCTTCCTGTCCTGAGAAGATCCTTTCTCGCATCTGAAATGCAAGTTAAGGTATCCACTAGAAAAAGCTTGGCCTGTTCAGCACAAGAGAGGAGACCCCGTACCAGTGCGTGGTAGTCTTCGGTAGGGTCATTCAATCCCTGCCAGTCATAGCGGGTGAAGGCGTTACACAGAACATCTCTGTCGTATACAACATGCTTCGAGCTCTTTGCGCGATATCTTTTCTCAGCTTTGAGTGAATCTGATCATAGCGCGAAGAAGATGATGATCAGAGCCCTGCAGAAAGATAGACTTTCTGTTGTGAATGATCTTCTGAAGTTGGTCGTTCAAGGCATCGAGCTCTACTTCGTCAATGTAGAATGCGGTGTGTAGCAGTTGCCGATAGGAATGGTTCCCAGGAATGTATGTCGTAGGCATCTCCTCGCTCTGTCATCTCTGTCGTAGGTAAGAAGGCAAAGCGAGGAGACAGGACCTTGTAAAAGTAGACGAGATGGGCGACAGATGAGTGCACGACGAAACCAACGCCGCAGACGTTTCGCCATGAAAGCTTTTGACCACGAGTGATAAGGGTTCTATCATTCATTCGTCGTACGCCGGTTGTTCTGCTTATGGCTTCTTGCAGCACAATCACATGATACTTAAAGTGATTACCCCCATCGAGGAGCTCATGGAGAGCGGCATCGGAATAGACTGTTCTCGCGTTGTCGGTATAAAGTAGGAAACAGTGTCGTGTGGAAGGAATGCTGTCATGCCCCGAATTTCAAAGCGTCCTGCGCAACCAGAAATCTTCGCTTCTCACCGGCCGCCATACCGTGCGACGCCGGAGACGGCTGGGCCAAGTGTGCGGGGCACTGGGGCTGTTTTGCAAACTTGCTCCCTGAAGTCTCAACATTGCCTTGCCAGCGCCAGTGCTGAGTCTTCACCATCGTGGCCATAGCCACTCTGGATCAGAGGGAGCCAAAGTGTCCTACTCTCAGCCGTTCAGATATGCAGACGTGCCGTTGAACTATCAGTTATATATAGACATTAGTAGAAGTAATGATTAGGAAAAATGATGAAGGCTCTAAAAAACTCCGTCGAGCAGTATAAAACTTAAGGCAGAGATTTCGGACTAAATAAGCCAACATCCGATGGTAGTGACGAAAGCATGTGGCAGGGCAACAGGTTGCCCCTCTTTCGGTGGGCAGATATTTCCCCGAGCGAGCCCTGTTCCTTAGTCAAAACGCAGACGTATTATACCGGGGCTTGCTGTGTGAACGCGTGAAGAACGGCTTCAACCGCAACCTCGGACTGACGGATAAGGGGGGATTAGTGAGCTGGCCTCCATCCCTCCAGTTCAACGCACAACTACTCAACCACAGCTTCGGTCGCGAAGCGACAAGCCGGTCAATATTATTTCCCGCATACTGAGAATTAGAAAGAAAAACAGAAATATTATCGTTACACATGCCGAAGTTACTTATAATCGAATACACCTGAACGCCTAAACGTCACTCTCCCACCAAATTGAGGTGGTAAACCAGCGAGCGGGATTGGGTGCAATTCGAGTTGAATTACGAAAGCTGTGTGGAATGAGTAGAGAATCGACCAGGTCACTTGAATGAACAGAACTTGAGCTGGATTCCTCTCATAACGGGCGAGGCTTGCACAAAGTGCGTCGGAGTGTTCTGCTACAAATCAGTAACTGTTGTTCTTCTTCACCAGAGCGTACAAATATGAAAAGGGTACAGGCGGTAAGCCAGCATTAACATTAAAAGAAGGAGACCGGGCGTAAGCCGAGTGATCTGACTGGTAATATAAAACTCCTTTAATTCATAGTCCGCCTGATAGACGAAAAAACGTGCTCACTCCACTTCGTACAGTTGAAACGAAAACTTGGTTTGTGTGGCGAAAGATTCGATGGCAGATAGAAGGGATTCGTGAAATGGAAATTGAGCTATATGCAAAGTTACAGTGTATTTATTGCAGGCAAAGCAGTCGAAATGCGAAATGGTGGAATTTGATATACATTTGTCTGCAGATGGTGTTCCTGTACTGATTCATGATGAGTCAACGGGTCGAACCTCTAAAGAAGACGTCGTTATCAGGGAAAAAACCCTGAAGGAGATTAAGGAAATCCCGTTAAAGATGGTGAGGTAAGAATGCCTGCACGTGCCATTCTTCAGTCATTCTCGGCTGACACATTACCACAGAGGTGGGAGCGAAATTCCCAAAAAGCTGCCCTGTTCTTGTCGATGGTAAGAGCAGTCGCAGTCATCAATTTAAAAATCATTTGTAAAAATTACTCCATACTCCAACTTCGTTTCCCGTGGGTCTCGCTTCTTTGAATTAATCAACGGACATGAAGAAAGTCCTAAATGAGTGGCTCGTTTGAGACCATTGTGGCACAGGCCACTCAAACCAATGGAAAAGGATCCTTGGGTTGGCCGACCGGGGGATCGACCGGAGCGTGTAGAAATATTTTGTCCCGAAAGGTCCACTGCTTTGCGGCACCCGATCGTGCAGTCGCGCGGTGTCTGGGGAAAGATCCGTACTTCCAGTGGGAAGTTTCAGTAGCTCCCGAGAAGGTACAACCGCTGTCCCTGACAGTTTGAGCCCGAATACCGTCATATGCCAATCAGAGTTCCATACGTGGAGAACACTTAAGAAGTAATCGCTTCCCTGCGCCATCCCCGGCTGATACAAAATGTAATCGAAATAATAAGAAAAAATGTTCAGTGGAATAAAAAGTGTTATTCCGACGCTTGACGAAGCTGTGGACTGGTGTGTACAGAACAATATGAAGATGATATTTGATATCAAAGATGCTGATTCAAAGGTGAATGAGTTAGTGAACTCTCTACCAGGAAATGAAAACTTATTCTTTTCATATCCATCATTCATTATGCAAAAGGATCAAGGATGAAGTCTTCTGGCCTCAGTACATCTCGTCTGAGACAGCGCTCAGCATTCGACGTTCTTTCAGAATCGTAGTGGCGAATTGAGTACAGTAACTTGCGGTGGCCAGCCGATGAACTGTGCTGACGCACAGTGCCAGTACCAGCGCTTCTAATCTCCCAAATGATTCTGGTGTCAATTAAGCTAACTTATAGGTATAGAAGTCCTTGTTGGGCTTGGCGGACATTGATTAGGTATTTGAACCCCTGGGTGGCGATATTCGTGATGTTGCTTGCAAGGTCCCTCGAACGATCACGAATTCCTCTCGATGGAGTGGGAAAATCACCTCATCAAACTGTACAGCTGTTATAAAGCGGCGCATATGAAAAATCTGAGTAGAGAGCAAATTACCGAAGTTGCTCTACCATTCTTAACCGGTCTCATACCCAATACATTCACATGAATTTACGGGAAATAGTACGGGTAACTTGGCAACTTGTGACTGTAGGTGTTTCGCAGGTATGGTCTAAACGGCACGAGCTGAGAAAACTGATTTTTCCTTGAAACTCTATTCATCATTTAGCTTTTGTAGCTTTCTAGCAATCATGGAGGACTTCTACACATCTAGTAATGCACATTTTGAACGGTTAAATAGCTATCTAGGACGGATGGTGTCGTGGCAAGTGGCTCACTATCGCAATCACATTGTCCGGAAATTGAATCCTGGTTCGATATCTGCCTAGCTGACTGAGCCCCTACTATCCGACCGAGGCCGCTCAATTGGTACCATACTTGTCTGGGAGGGTAAAAGTACTGACTTGTACAGTCATTACGCTCGCAGTACGCCATTACGATTCTGAATGGAAGTCTTATCAAAATAGAATTGATTATCGCCTTCATCCTCTCACTCTGAAATATATTTCTGAATTCCATACTATTTACTCCAGATGGTGAAATCACTCGTGGAGATTATCAAGTCGAAGAATTTGTATTCCAAAGCAATAATTTCAAGCTACAATCCGTGTGTAGCGTTTACGGTCAAACGAGTTGACAGAAATATTTTAACAGGTGAGTACATAGATACATAGGGGTTCATAGTTGGATACTCAGATCATTTTTTCCCAAGCGTGCCCAGCCACCCTTTTCCTTGTTTTCTAGGGTTTACTAGTCGAGCTGGCTACATGACCTATGAGGATGAGGACAGAAGAATTCCACGGAACGGTGCACCACGAATGTGGACGAATTTCATTCTCGATGACATGATTGATCTAGGTTTTGTCTGTTCAAGAAGGAGAACAATTGTTAGTCTACGTTTGTTGCTTTTAAGGAATCCGTACATTTATTCTACCAACATTTCTGGGTGTCGACATGCTTCTTCTTCATCACAAATGTATAGACAGGTCCGCTACGGTAAATTATTACGGCTTGAATACACGCTACACATAAGCGAAGGCAGTTTCGTTGTTTCTTGGCTGTCTACGCTTTCTGATGGCGCCTAGGACCAATATTGGGGCTGGCATTCCCTTGGAGGCGTACATTCCTGCAGCTTTGGGTCTTCTACTCCTGTCGGGACTCGTTTCTGCAGCTAAAACGCCATGATCTCCGACACCACCGGTCCAAGATAGGATGGAAGTTAACTGAACAGGCTACTGTTAAAAGGAAATATGCAGAATTTGTATTTGTTACAGTAATTTGGTGGATGATGCCTGGCAATTAGGCATACACGTGTTGGCTTGGACAGTGAACGATTCCTGTCTGGCGACTTTTTTGCGGTTTAATAATGTGAGTACCCATTTGACAATTCTAACTTTTCAACCTGTAGCTACTGATGCAAAGGCGAGCTCAAGGCAACTTCAGCTGTAGCTCAAAATGCCTACAAATCAAGAAGTCAATAAACTTGCTTCCTGCTGTGATCGAAAGAAATGTTCGCATAGTTGAAATAAATGGGTGGTATAGTGGCAACGTAGGTGTATCCCTGAATTAGTGGGAACTGGTGTGGACAATGATCAACACTCTTGAAGAAGCCGAAAACGCTTGATTTTGATTTGGACCCAGTTGGCCATTGTTCACCCCAGTTCCCACTAATTCAGGGATTCATCACCTAAGGTTCCATGGTGCCACCCGTTCCGTCGGCAGGAGAGCGACAGCGACAGCGACCCTTGGATCGTGGATCGCTGCATCGCTTGCTTGCTGAAACATAGATAAACAGACTATGCATCAGCTACTTCTGGCATTATTCTGAAAAATGTACTGTATTGACTTACTGGTATTACAAAATTCCTCGAATAATAAAAAGATCAATAAAGTTAAAGAAAAAACACGAAAGGTAAAGGAAACTGAGGCAACACTTGAACTATATGTTATGCATCTCACCTATTTCAAACGAAAATCCCTTACACAACAGAGAACAGAGAAAACAGAGAATCCCACTGTGCGAGCTGAACTACATCCATCAACTCCTAAAACATCCCCTTT